CCCATGAGCAGATACGCTAGATACTCCACATATATTTAAGGCTTATATGTGTGTTCTCTTTTTGTGAAATCCGAAAAAGTCGCTAAATTAAGAATTTAAATGAATGGTTAGTAATATAATTTAAGTCTCCTATGTAAAATCGTTATGCATCTGACCTGCATATCCATCTCTTTACGGTCGGTGTATATTGATGCTTGCTCGTCTGGTAGCGGTTCCTCTGTTATGGTCTCTAATCCTTCTTCTATATCTTCATCACCTTCTATTTCTGCGTCATGTTCTGCATCTCGAAAATCTTCAATATTGTCAACTGAATTCCTTATTTTGTCATTGCAACCAACGTCAGCCCCGGATATGAGGTTTTTCAACAGGACTGTACGCCTAGAAACAGCTTTTCCGTTAATCGCATCAACTTTAGCAAGAAATATTGTGCAAAGAAAATCTTTTGAATTCCCAAAACCCTTAATGCTGCTAGCCTCTGTCGATACACTATGTATTAATCCGCGATACAATTTTTTGGCGTCAAACTGAGTTATGTACTTGGAAACGTACATATGGGCAGATCCGGTAGAAACGTACATGAATTTAATCATGTCATTTTCAATTTTGTCGCCGAAATCTAAGGGAATTGCATTCACCAATCGTGGGAAGGTTTTGTTATAATCGTCACCACGCATAAACAGGCCATCTCCTGGGCGAGCGTTGATTTCTATTTGATACCTGGCAAGTCTTCTGTTTGCTGGTGGTTTCTCTTCAGCTAGTTTTCTGAGGTTTGTTTTGAAAATAGGGTTCATCTCAATTCTAATATTTAAAAAAAAAACAATTCTAATATTTAAAAAAACAAACAAATACACCAATTTAGATTTCAATCATTCAAGATGTCCAAGTATGTGAATAAGTTGGCATATTGATGTTATTTCTGATATTATATTTAAAAGACAGTTATTATAAAAACGTTTAAAATCAAATAAGTCCTAAGCCTAAATAAAATAGGTCTAATTAAAGATTTAAATCTGGTAATGACGTAAAATTTATGAAACTTACCTATAAGTAGGCTATCACGTTGTTGTAGCTAAGTCCCTTACTCCCTGTGAGCGTCTGTGTGGTGTAACTTTAATGTACACGCTAAAATACCATAGAATATGTTAATGCCAGATGTAGGCCTACCACACTTCTCTTTTAATCTCAAAACGTATCCGAAAAGTAACAGACACTATGTGCTTTGTTTGAAAGCAGCAACGCAAGTAATTGAAGAACATCATCCGTATTGATGAAAAATAAAAGGATAATCCATGTAGAAAATCTCAAGGTGTTGCAATATTGTAACGGGTTGCAGGCTTGGTATTGTTATAATATTGTCATCCATTGGATAGATTACCATACCATGAAGGTTAAAATATATTTTACTTCCATGCTCATACTAATTACCGGGCCTTTAGTTGCGAGTCCAGGTGATTATTGGAATGATTCACAATGTTCATATTATAGACCTCGTTAATACATAGGCCTAATGAAATATATCTGTGTAGTAACACGTACTCGATATAAGAAAAATAATAGGCAATATGATGCAGGGGTGGCGGGTGCAGAGGGTGCGATCGCACCCCCCCCCCCCTAAATTGTATTAAGAAAAATAATTGTTGTATTATATTGTTGAAATGAATTATTGGTAAGATTTTTAAGGTACATGAGAGTGCAATTTCCGGGCACCATCAGAGGTCCATATTCTCAAAATGTTCGCACCTCAGCCCTTAACCATGTTAGGGCTGAGGTAGTGGACTCTCACCCACCCATGGGCGCAGATATCTGTCTCTTACACACATCTAGGTGTGTATAAGAGACAGGTGGTTGATGAGAGTGCAATTTCCGGGCACCATCAGAGGTCCATATTCTCAAAATGTTCGCACCTCAGCCCTTAACCATGTTAGGGCTGAGGTAGTGGACTCTCACCCACCCATGGGCGCAGATCATTGG